CTAACTTACCTTTTGAAAACATTTCTCCATATGCTTCAGAGCATGTCGCATACTGATTTCAGCTGAGCACGTAACACATATGATGGGTTCCATCTGTTCTACTTGTTCTGCGTCGTGAGCGACCGCAGCAAGCTTAATAATGATAATGAAAACATTATAGACTGATAAATACATGAGTTTATACGCAAGTGCACCTGACAAGAACAAAGAGTTGGCTCTGTGAAAACAGTAGTTTAAAAAAAATATACTACATATTCGAGCTTAGTGTTAGGTATGCAGAGGAATGTACCAATAATTATCGTGTTAAGTCGAATGGTGTCCTTGGACGTTAAATGGACATTTCCTATTGGTCGATGTTTATTTCACTCGTTAAATATTGTGTAAATGTTGTTTTCTATTTTATGGTACGATGTGGTTTGTTTGTTTGGTATATAAATAGAGTATGTCTGAAATAAAATGATTCATAACTCAGAGGCTGTGACTTGTGTTCTGGACCCAACTGGCTGGGCTAGAGAGGGAAGCGGGACCAATCAGTGCACTAGGTCGTCCACTGCGTGTTTACGTGTCCACTGAAGCAATCGATCGATAAAACGCTGCTTACCAAAACCTGCAGTCCACCCGTTACAACACTTAATATTACCTACTATGATCTGGAATCCGACAACAGAATCATTCAGTACTCTGTCATCTTCAATTATTGGCTAACTGATACCTACGTAATACCTAGGATGAAAATGTATCGATTCGAATTAACTCATTATACATCAGCGCAATCAGAGAGAACTGAATTACAAAGTGAAACCAGGAGTGAAAATAATACACAAAAAAATTGTGAACATAAAAATCAAAAATTGCCTGACATGAGAGAAATTACCATTTGTTCATTGTTTCGTCCAGTTTTTCGCTCTTGAGCTCGACTAATAAGTGCCGTAAGCTTTTGATGCTCCATTTCTAATTCAACCAACCGATTGTGTACTACACACTGTTCCTTACTAATTTCTTTAAGACGCAATTTGTCAATAACGGTAGCCATACAATCCGGTAGCCTTTCTAATCCAGAAAGAGCCGTTCCAGCTTTCGTAAACAAGTCAGGATACCAAGCATGAAAACTTTCTGGCAGCAAAGTTTCTAAGCGCCTAAAAAAGAAAATGTGTAATTTATCAGTCTTAAAAAGCTCTGTAATGAGTAGTGAATTGAGGTCATGAGAAACTTTATTTTGAAGACTTTAAGCTACTTCAATTTCTTATCAAAGTACTCCCTATTTGTATAAAAATAATTATCTCATTTGTTTTCCTTGTCCAAGATGTCAGTGAAAGTCAGGCTCGCTATTTTACGTGAAACCATACACACATCATTCGCATTCTATAAGGGACTAAGTTTTTCTTAACTGTTGGTTAGCCAACAGCGACTTTAGCAAAAGTTTCATACAGAAATTCACAGCCTTGAATGTCTCACTAGAATTATGTGTGCAGACGATTGATTTTTCTGGACTCAACCCATCAGTTACCACTCAGGTAGTGAACCAAAGACCCGAACGCACGTAGAGCCATACAAGTCTGATATGTTTATCAACACAGAGACTCTATAATCGTCCGTAACTGACAGTACTATTAGACCGATTCGCATATTTGTTGGACAGGCAATATATAAGGAGGTATTACTGATCAAGTAAATGAGTTAGATGCCACAACAGATGTTCATTTTACGACTTTCCGCCCATGAGTAGATCGTTCAAACCCGGAAAATGAGTTCCAGACTCAACTTAGGTACTGTATATGTATTCAGCTTTTATGTCATAAATAACGCCTAGTACTAATGGTCATAGCAATATAGGTTGCAATCTATAACAATTGAGGTAGGACTAGTAAAAACAGTGAGTCACTCGAAATTTTCAAAGGAGCCTCATATGATATTAATCAATAATCAAACAGTTAAAGGTTGGGTGCTTTAAGTGTTATGAAATAGTATTGTACCGGCATATATAAAAGGAGCGATAAATTACGCCTTTATAGACTGCTTGATAATGATTTGGAGCAGACACAGTAAATATTTTTATAATGGATTTTCGTCTTATTACTTCTAAACATTTTTAAGTCATTAGAGTTTAAAAATGTGATCTATAAACAAAATATTTCGTAAATGAAGCAAAGTACAGATAAGCTACAAACTTGATGGCAAGTTTAAGTCCACATTCATTTGAACAATATTTTGTATCTGGTCTTGCTGCAGCTCGAGTGCATCCAGGACCGAAACATTGTCGAGGCTTTTTTAGTTCGTTAGGTATTAGTGAATCAAATACTTTTCGTGGGTTGCTATTATTTATCTTTGGTTTTTCAACTCGACGTGTAGCAATCTTACGACCAGATGATGCATGAACAGTCCTAGCACTTCCACCTTGATAGCGATTAACAGTTCTAGGTCGACCAACAGATTTGGAAGATTTATTAGAAGAAACAATACGATTACTCCCTGGATTGTAAGCAGCTGTCCTTGGCAAACTGCTGCCAATTCTACGTTGAGAACGATCTCCATGTGAACTTTTGCGATGTGAACTGCAACTATTTCCAATTTTACGTGAACCAGTAAGTTGTGTTCGAGAAGTGCGACTAGGACGCTAAAAAAATTGGTAATGTAGAGTGAACAAAAGCTTCGCACTTGAAAACCTAGGCGAAATTATTTCATTAAGACGATAAAAGAGAACAACTTTTTCAGTTACAGTGAAGTACAATTAGTTATAATTAATAATGCTCAGGTATACCAAACGATAATACGAGTGGTTAGTCCTACTACATTCGCAGACCAATCGTTCAAAATATCATTTGCTTCGGTCTGGGCACTCGGGCAGTATTACCCCCCAACACAAATCAAGTGACTTGTGTGACGCATGTGTATTTGGTACCCCTTTGTATCAGCATTTGTGTGTTCAAATAAATAAATAAAAAGGTCCAAAAGGTTTAGAGTAATGTTGCGAAGAAGCACATAAAACTGTAGAAAGATAGGAATTACATGTTCTAAGCAATAGCCACCTACGTTTATTATGGCTAATGACAAGTATCTCGAACGTTTCAATGAATAATGTTCTATACTTCTACACAGTGGAGTACATTAACATTATCTAGTTAACTGCATTTAATCCTTAAAATTTCGGTTCTTACTAATATCCACAAAATAAGGACAACCTTGAGAAACCTAATATCATTTTCTTATCTAATATAAAAAACTGATCAATTGAATTATTTTAGAGAAACATTTTTTTAAAAATGATTTAGACTACTAGACTTCACATTTTGTGTACCATTTTTAGAGCGGAGTCTGATAAGAGTTGCATGACAATTGATTAGATGTTCAGGTCCTTTGTTTTTTGCAGGCATACATAGCTGAGATTATACGAATGACAGAGTATAATTGACTAAACTATCATCAAAAAATCAGATGGAGATGTACAGATGATAGAATTAATGATGAAGTAGGATGGAATCAATACTTAGTATGATAACTTAAATACAGTTTACAAATCTCTTAACTGTAGCTCACTGCACATAAATTTTAGCGTTAATAAATCGTTATACCTAAATAGGAAAACACTACAGTAATTTAAAGTAGCCAGCTTCGACACTAAATATTAGAAAAATTTCCGACCATAAGACATGACTACCTTTGATTTTAATAGGAAATAAAAAAAACTGTTGTATACATCAGGAAAAGAAATAAGGAGACTTAACTGTTGAATTTAGATTTAGCGTGCCTAAATGAATACAATTGAGCATATCACGCATAAAATGTTTTGCGAAATGGGAAAGATGTACATTTTCTAGTTAAAATTCATCCAATACTTTTTTGTCAGACATCGTTATAATGATTATCGCTAACTTTCCTTCAATCCAAAGCAAATGTGAACGTTCAACTGTCGATAGATTGGGTTTAATTCTAATGCTAGATTGTTAAGGTGAAACATGTTACCAAATAATATTTTGGACGCTATACTTACTAAGAGGTATATGCTAAAACGTGAGTAAATTAAACTCAATAAACCCACGTAAGTAACTTTACAAAATTTGGACACCAGATTAATTGACTAAAGCAGTTTCTCACTGAAATAATATCCCCATCCAGTTGTTCCTTTTCAGGCCAACTTTCCTACATGATGTCGTGTGAAATGTAACGAACTGATTATATCTGTCTCAAACAAGTATAGTTGAACACCTGAGAAAGGAATAGCATATCATACTGTACTATTACATTTTATTACAGCCACAAAACAAGAAAATTTCTTTCGACCTGCTATGTACATTTAAGATCACACTTACGATGTAAAAACATTGGGGTTTTAAGTATAAATAACCAAAATTGACCTACTTTTTTCTCATAATCGGAAGCAACCCAGTCTTCATCTTCTGCATCATCATCTTCATCAAAGTCATTGTCATCATCACTCACGGGACCTTCAACGTTACTATCATCAAAATCATCACAAGTTTCATGTCCATTTGATGAGACGCGGTTTGTTGCTGACCAGTTATCAGAGAGAACGGATTCCTTGTAACTTTTTGATAAATCACTTCGATGACTGCTACCTTTTACAAATTTATCACGAGGACTGTTTTGACTGAAAGGTTTAGTATCGGCAACATTGTCATCCCACTCACAAATTTCTCTTCTGCTAGGCAAATTCTTCTCGTGATTGTATTTTTGACTCATTTTGTGGTGAACGTGAACAATTTGTCACACTTTAGAAGCCAAAAAGAGAGATGATATTACTCGATATGACTACTTCTGTTAATTTTAAATAGGAAATCCAAGCTGGTGAGCTGGTAAATCTGATCGCTTGCCATAAATATTCTGGTGATTGCCTGTTACTGGCTAGTAGCAACTTCAACCAAAATCGAAGACAATTATGACTGAGTGACCTTTGGTAAAACGTTAGTTATATATACGAACTACTGCTCGGAAAAGCTGCCTTACTTAAACTATGACTACGTCTAAGCTCTGGTACACTCAAATAAATAAATGAAATACATCATACAACTTAAAGTGATATCAATGGTATACTTCAGAAGGAAGTGGCTGCATGATTATCGAAGTATAAAAGTGATAGTGATCATGTAGTTGTTTGAAAGAAACTAATTTCTGTAACTATGATCGAACTTAAGTCATTTTATGCTACATATGGATAAGTATATGAGATATTTCGCTACGAAAAAATAAAAACTGTGATAAAATTAGTTAACACAAAGATGTATGACACTAATCTAGAAGATAAAGCTTCACGAAATAAAAGAAGTTTGAAACTTAGCTGACTTTTCGCGACTAATAAATGTTGAGTTCTGAAAACTAGCCGGATGACCACAGCGGGATTACACAATGAAAAATAGCATCGTGGTGCTGATTGCCATAGTATTTCGGATCGTTTTACATCACGTTTAGCACTAAATTCCGTTTTGTTTACTACCAGCTTTCTTAAATAGTCTTCTTTGTCATCTGTTACTGGTGTGAACGATCCTAACATACAGAATGACATCTTCCGTGCGCCGGAAGATGTTTTGTATCAAATGTTTTAGCTCAGGATACCCGCATAAAACTAGACGAGTCTTACTATCGAATACGGAGTTTTCGTGCCACTGAAGAATTACACATGAATAAATACTGATTGGTAATACTATGTCTAGCGAATAAGGGAACAGTATAACTACAGTTGTATCGGTAGTATACGGAAGTAGTATGTTGGGATAACTTCTGACAAATAGAGATAGACTGTAGAGATCGTTTCCTCTAATACTGAAATATGATGACCTGTTAACTGAGTATTTCTAGATATAGCAGTTTTGTTCTGTAATTTAAGAAACTGTGACCGCCAAAACTTTCAATTTTAAGTTGAGAAATGTCTACTAATTTCAAATGCTTGTCAGAACACTAGCAGTAGAAAATTTGTAGGGAACTTTTTTGAAGGACAGTCTCAGAATAGAAACCACAATCATCAAACAGTCCAATGACTCGGAATTACACACCAAACAGAATGAAAAGCGGAATAATTGAAAGGGATATCTTAGATAAATTAACACTTTTCGTTACTATTTGACGCTGACAAGGAAAAATATTTGTTTTGCTTAAAATATTTAAATATTTCAAGAAATCACAAGCAACCAATAAAGTCGAAAACAGAGACAAACAAGGAGAGATAAAGCGAAAGAAAACGTAAATAAAGTGTAAATGTTGATTGCCCCCTTACGTCGTTTATTTAGGGGAAATTTGTAGACAAATTTACGTAACGTACATATCCGAATATGCCGCCTCCCGTTCGTATATTTTCAGATACGTATATAAAATAACGTACGTTCAACATATTTTCCCCTTTGTTCGCTCTTATTAACCCCTTATTGATTGTTTACGAAGCATATATATGCTTGGTGGAATATGCTCATAAACCCCTTACAGGCTGCACAGGAACAAATCTAGCTGGAGCATGAATTCAGCGTATGATTTGATCGGATGATCGATCCGAACCTCCCACTTTTCTGACATGTTAAGAAATTAAAATGAATGCAACTGACAGTCCTAGCAACACACAATTCTAACCGTCAACCTCAACTTCAAACCTTGACCTTTGAAGTGGTCTAGTGAACTGATCTCAGAGACTTGTGTCTGAGTAGTAGGAGAGCAGCCTTGTTTAGGTGAGGGGCGAGTATGAACAGCCACATAACGAGTGACATACTTCAGTACGTAGAGAGCTGAAGTTATCTTTAGGCTGTTTTTGAAGGATTCAGAAGGTTTCGGACCAATAGCTTCTGGCAGAAGCCTCTATAACTTTCTGACTTAAAAAGTGCTTTTTGGTGTGAATTTTTTCTCGTTTTATCCTCGGTTGATCTCACCTCCAGTGTAGTTTATCAATGAAAATCACCAGTTATCCGTTATAGTGGAGAAAATTATGAAAGCTATGGTGTGTAGCGGTAAATAAACCCATGGTATATGTACTCCGCTAAGTCGTCGACATCAATGTCGACCTCTTCGTTTCACTCATACACGTCCCTAGCCGACGTTGCCCGACCATTCATCTGCACCAACTGACGTTTGGGTTCACCGTGTTACGCATCCCTCAAGACTGTTAGCCATTTTTGATCCAAAGCTTCTCTGCATATCAATGACTCGCCAAATATATATCCAAACTCCCTTTCTGACTTTTGATCTGACTATTTTCAGTCTTCGATAATAAAGATGGATGGTTGGTGAAAACATTTTAATCATCACAGTTTGTTTTCCAATGAAGGTCCAGCTTCTCCTCTTAAATGTCCACTGATGGAGCTGAATCCACTTATTCGGGTGAGGTATCCTAGTTATTGACCACTCGATGAGGAAAAAGGAACCTCACTCTGAGTCTATGGGATCGCGATGGGTTGCTTTCCTCTTGTTATTGTGTGATCAAAGAGTTTCAACAAGGACTTCTTTTACGGAACTCAATGTTATGAAGTGAATTGACTTCATACTGTTGCTGTCGGACTATCTGCTAAAAGCTTCTTCGACTCGTTTCGTTTAAACAGAATTACGATCCCATTTCGTCAGGAAAATATCTTATATTTGTCAAGTACGTAATAACTGCAATTAATACTTTTCACCGTATGATACATTATTTAGTACCACAGAAAGTCTTGACTCCTTAGTGTTATATTATCGATCTTGAGATACTTTGTATTTTCAAATATAATTAATTATCATTACTCATTATCGTTACATTATTTTGGGAATTCATTTTGATGTAATAATTAACCTATCCAGTCATACTTGATAGAACTCTGAAAAATTCGGAAACTTCCATGTACCTGGAAAGCATCATTGATGAACAAGAAGCATCAGATGCATGCGAAAATGCAAGGGTTGTCGAAGCGAGTGCAGCACTCTTACAGTTAAAAAATATATGGAACTCAAAACAAATATCAACAAATACCAAAGCCAGCAACTTCAATAAAAACGTAAAGATATAAATTTGGAGAACCACCACTTTAGTGAGTCAGAACACAAGAGGTGGCAATCAAATGATTTTGAATACAGAACTACGGAACATCTTAGAAGAATCTGAGCACTACACAGTAAATACTTATTTTGTAAAGTGTCAATCAATCGTCTCAATTTTGACTGTTCCTTTCGCAAATGTCAATCAGTCGTATCAGACTTCATTTTTCCTTCATTTCCACAGCAATCATTCACTGTTCTCACTCACTTTCCTCAGATCTTCCTAACCTTCTGCTGCCAGGTATTTCACTTTCGATAGGCGATACATACTATTTATATCTATCGACATCAGTTGTACACATAACGCCACAAACATCATCAAAAAGGTACATGTATTTGTAGATTTATGGTCTACTGTGATATTAGTACTGCTCTAATAACAAACCTAACCCTATAATTGTAGATTTGTCATGATGTAACTGCCTAATCTATAAGATCTTACGTGGGTCACATCATCGTCTACACCACCTCACTACATCGTAACAATCACCAATGCATGATAGAGAACAGACTTAGGCTAGAAATAGAACAATATATTTAATATGAATAGAAGATATAAGGTAACATTCAGCACGGACCACGCCTGCATGGACGAACCATGTCATACTATCGACTCCGATTAATTCAATTGCTCCTCCCCCCTCTTCACATCTGGGTTTCTCTCCGTGGTAATTATTGAATGTCTATTTCCCACATTTTCTCGTATTAGGGCCCAATGCCACTACATATTAATAAATAATTGTCTACACAAGATACTCACCGTCCATTGGCCGGATACCATTAGCAACATCCAACTGTGGAAGAGAAAAACGCGAGCTTTCAAATAAAGAAGAAATTAAGGAAGGACATTCAATGAGGATCGGACAGAAATTTCAGAAATAATCAAACTGCATCGCGAAGCAAGTGCTAACTTGGAATCCTGAAGTGAATCGGAAAAGAAGGAGACCAAAGAATTCATTGGAAGCAGACATGAAAAGGGCGAATAGCAACTGAGAAAGACTACCCAGGACAGAATTGGATGGAGAATGCTGGTGGGAGGCCTATGCTTTTCAACGAGGAGCGACAGGTGTAAGTAGGTGATTACATAACTATCAACGAACAAAAGAAGCTTCATCCCCTCTACAGAAGAGCGACGTGATTCAGGCCAAAAATATTTTCGATTTTGTTACTTCATCTGCTGCACTAAGGCTAAATACCTGGACCATGTTCGTTACACTTCTATCACCTGATCAGGTTAATGTGACACAAAAGGTGAAATTTGACAACGAAGGTGGTTTTGTACTTATAAGTTACATGCTGACTCAGACGTTGTATAGGTCTCCAGCCATATCTGAAGGCTACGATGGATGATGCATCGGTCAGCGTTCTGATATGTTCAATCGGTGGTTTTGTTGAGTTTGTTGATGCTTAGGTCAACGTAATCGTTTTTACTGATTCTATGTTCTGTCATATGACCTGGTGATAACATTTTTCGTGACTTTGCTTCATCTTCCTAGGTAGCAACTCCTGTGATCATTATAGAAAGCAATAGTGATGTCAGTTTAGTAGATAGCTTGCCCTGTTCTGAAAGATGCAGCTAGGTAATCAAAATAGTCGGACTTATCGAAACACTATAAACTGAGTTAATTTGAAATCTCTTGTGATTTTCAGACTGCCTCGATAGTAAGTGGTAAGTGGCGTGATATTTAGACGAACTGTATCTTGGTTTATCAGTAGTTAGTAAAATTTAGGGTTCCTGAGACGTTTGAAGGGTACTGAAAAGTACTGATTGAACGTAACTTAAAAGTATCTCAGCGGTCTTCAGGGGCAGAAGGGTTGGATTTCTTTTCCCGACCGTATCTTAGAGTATTGGACAATCGTTAACCTCACTTTTTCTGAGAACTTCTATCTCGACCTACATTTTTCTCTGCATGTCAGAATGGGACATTTAAGTCTTATACACAGACAATCTAGGAAGTAACTGATCCCTGTATCGAGCTTTCGAATACTTCAAGAGTCTGGTTACAACCAATTTCTAGGTTTTATTCAAAAGAAGGTTCGGTGGACGGAGATATCTAGTTTACAGCTAATAATATCTACAGTAAAGGACTTGTGACAATCATGACTGACTGTTCGAAACTTTTTCGTTCATTTGTCTGTTCTAAAAACGTGGACCTGGGAACATATTCTAGAATATATCTTGTCTATGAACCTCTTCAGAAGACAGATCAGACAGTTTTTGATGATACGCAGGGTTATCGTCTGCTTGTCATTTATTATGTCTAACATTTTGATTCAGCACAAAGATATAATGTTAGAAGAATGAACAGTAGTAGGACGAATTCAAATCAGATACTAGACAATAGTGACACAAAGCGTTACCGGAATTGAGGCAACTACTTTCATACTAGTTTCATGGTGTCTACAAGGATATATATGTTTGAGCAGCAAGGGTTTTATCCAGATAATAATTATTTCTGTAAGGGCATCGTGAACGAGGCTCGACAAAACATAGGACTTCCATTCTCTGGGTTAACATCAATCAGTGGTGGATCACAGTCAGATAATTTACTGAA